GGCACGGTTTTGACCTGTTTTGGTCAACAATCCACCTAGTTTGCCATAGTTGACATATTTAGTCCTTCATGCGTAACTTGGTCATTACAACTCCGTTTCACGCAAAACTTTCTAGATCTCATAATTGATATATAAGAAGCTTAAATATAAAATTTCAGCCTCTAACTCGATCCAGAAGTCCATATTCCAATCTAACTTAAGTAAGTACTAATCCATAAAATACTATACTAACTTAATTAAACATGTTTAGCAACTTAAATGGACTTTTAGAAAGTTGGATGTTACAGGGGACTCTGTGATGTGCGGAAGACGTGTTCTATGACTTAGGCCACGACAAAGGTTGTCTGCGTCTATGATTTAAAATCACATATGATGGTCTTGATGGATTATAGTATCATATCAACAACAACTTTATCACATGTGATAATACTTGTGAGGGGGCTTAGTGCTGTAAGGGCGACTTGGCCCGCAACCAAGATCGTGCCCGTGTCTTTGATTTAGTATCACATGTGTATCATATGTGATGAAATAATAGTATAACATGTGATTGTCTATAATAAAAGAGTGTTCTCGCGTTCTTGTAAAATGAAAGTGTTCTCGTTTGCACCTTAATAATTGATGTTAACTATGTGAATCAATCTTAACTCTTAATACTTGAAATCAAGGGATTAAATTATGACATATCTATACTATCTTATAAAACAAATTTAACAAAAGTCTTAAAGTCTTAAAATACAAAATGACCAAGATACCCTTTATATCACTTTTTCACTCCCTTCTCTCCTCACATACGATTTTTTTTTAAATTACACTTTATACCCTTATAATTATCTATACTATCTTATAAAGCAAATTTAAAAAAAGTCTTAAAGTCTTAAAATACTAAATGACCAAGATACCCTTTATATCACTTTTTCACTCCCTTCTTTCCTCACATACACTCACCTTTTTTTTAAATTACACTTTATACCCTTATAATTAGTTAATTAATTTACTTTACGTCCTTTACTTTTAAATGTTTCATTTTAAATCTTTATCAAATTAATATACATAATCTTGTATCAATTAAAACATGTTTAAAAAACACATTTTTATTTTAACAAATTACACCATTATAATCGTCTCGTTAATACCTTCGAAATGAGTCCAACATTGAATAGTTTTTGACTTAATTATATTATTATATATTATATATACTGTGAAAAAATATTTTTAATATTTATGATTTATACTTTTATAGTTATTTATTTATATATATACTATATATTTTGGGGTTAGGCTGTCCAAATTGCACTATATAATATGTTCTGAATTAATATATTCATGGGTTTTTTTGAAATATATATACATGTATTAATTCAACCTTAATCTGAGTTTCTGGACAAGAAAGAGGGTAAGCAGTTGAAATTTCATTATAAAACCCATTTTTTTGGTCTTTTCATGGTTTATGATCTGTCAAAATTGTAGTTTTCTTTATTGATTTTGAGTGTTTATCTTAAAACTCAAATTTCTTGGTTCTTTGCTCTTGGTGTAAATCGAACACATTTGTGGAGTAGTTTAAATATATTGGATTTTAAACTGTCATACAATTCTTTTCATCGATAGTCTGTAATTGGAACTATAACTCTTATTTATTCAAATTGTATTAATATGTAAAGACCAAGTGTAACTTATATCGTCGTTAAATCTTTTTTTATAAAACCAGTGGAACTTTAAAATCGTTAAAATTCATGGCTCCCGCCGCATTGCGCGGGTACACAACTAGTTTGTAATAAAGGAAAATTTGAACAAAAATAATTGGTTAATGTTCTATAATAGGGGTATTTGTGGAAAATATTATGACATATGAACACATATGAAATCTTTTATTGAACATCACATGGTTACGAACATGATCTTATGAATGACTTATGATTATGAACATATTCTTATTAACACATTTTTTAACATACCTTATGGTTATGACACATTTTTATGGACACCTATGAACATCATTAAATATAATAAAAGTAACGTACATATAAAAATTTGTAACATCTCATTAAATACCATAAAAGTAACTTACACACAAGAATTATCTATTTGTCTTTCATCATTAAATCAAACATTTGAAGTAACCTCTATTAAATAATGAATCTTATTGATCTAATAAGTTCACAAAGTTAACATCTATTCGTGGTTAACAAAAGATCTTACCCCTAATATATATATATATATATATATGTATACACACATACATACTTAAAAGGGATGGAGAAAGATAAAATAGAAACACTATGACAAAATTAAATTTGTTGATAAACTACATCTCAAGTGGTTTTAACATGAAAGAACACATTTTCCTTGTTGATGATGGTTTCTTTAATGTTCAAACATTCAATCTTACAACATGAAACTGAAAGATAAAATAAAACCTTAAAACTCTCTCAAAGAAAACGAAAAATTCTGGAAAATTGTAAATTGATATGAGCGATGAAAAGTCAAGCTAACAAATATATATATATCAAGAAGTTTCATATTTAGCCCTTCAATTATAACCATGATAGCTCCGCTATCCTTCTAGAAACTTGACAACTCCAAATAACCCTTCTTGACTAGCAACTTTACAGTATCAACCCCTTTAAATGAAAATCCTTAAATATAACACCAAAACTTATATAAATGACAAGATTGGATAAGAAATCTAATATATTTAACATTCTCCCTAAATCTTGGCATTTAAATAAGTTAATCATCTTTAACCTTGAACATAAGTAATTACCTTGATTTATACCAAGAGATTTGCTGAAAATATCGCAGGTTGTTCAGAAGAGAGTATTTTTACAACTTTTATCACACCTAAAATAACCTTTTCATGAACTTGATGAATATCAATTTCTATATGTTTATTACGCTCATGAAACACGGGATTAAAGCAAACCCACCCCTTCAAGAAGAACTCGCAAGACATCCATCTCCGACAACCCACCATCAGGCTCCATCTCCCTCCCCTACTGTCGATACACTCCTCGCTCGTCACCTCCTCCTTTGAAATCTAAGACCCAGATCCAATTACCCTCTCTCTTAACATTATTGTGAACCTCTATTTCACTCTCATGCCCTATTGTAACCTTCGACTGATCATCATGTCCTCTTTCTCCTTTCTCTCACGTCACCATCTTATACCATTTATACACATAAAAAATAGTTTGGACTTATGTGTTGTCGACCTAAACAAAGTAGAGGGTTTTGAATCGGTGTTCATTATTGAAGGTGGTATTTTGTTTTGAATCAGTGTTCATGACCAAGGTTTTGCTTGATTTTCGCCTACTTGATTCGGAGCACCAAATCAATTAACAACGTGGGGGAGAAAAAGAGGGAGACGAAAACCTAATAAGTTCACATCATGAAGCAACAATATAAGTTTTTTTTGTTCGGTTTTTTAGTTATCATCTCAAAATGGTACCTGTCGTGGGAAGATGACAAAAAAAGGGAGAAGGTCCTTGGAGAAGCGAGGAAAAAATAGTAGTTGTAGGAACCCAGATCCTCAAATACACGAGTAGTTAATGCTTAAGACAAATTAGTGAGTGGAGGCAAATAGCAATGATATTAGTTGGCTAATGAAATACGATAAGTAAACAGTAATGAGGAACTAATACTCTTTGGGATATTGTCGTTGTCAAATGTATTTCAAAAGCTTTAGAGAATATGAGTTTACACCAAGAACACACACTGCTGTGTGAAAATAAAATATCTCTAAAAGCTATTTCTCTCAAGTGCTGAACTCTCTCACCGATAGTGCAAAGATCACGTCTTCAATTGGTAAGTCAACACGTCCTCCAATCTACTGTCTCCACATGTAAAGGTAGTAGTAACCGTTTTTGCACGTGTTGCAAGGAGGCAGAACCACTTGCATAAGAGAGACTGACTAGGAACCAATATGTTGATGAACGAAGTTGAGACCAAGAGGCTTTGCAAGTACTATGCAGAGGCTCCGTGTCCAGGACTCGAGCTCTGCATCCCGAGTACTTGGTAATGTTGGCATGCTACTTCGGTCTTGATCTGCTCTGTATCCAAGCTCTGGTTCCTGGCCGCTTCTAGATAGAAGGCCTTCTAAATTTAGACTAGAGACTTTTTACTTACACTTTCACATGCTAACAATGGTGGTTAGGGGTACATGTAGGGTTTGTTTGTATTTGCTTTGCTTTTTTAAAAAGGAATGAGAGGAACATGAAAAAAGACCAAAGTGCCTTGATTTAATGACGGTAATTTAATACTCATTAGTGGAAGGAACTAAAACCAAACGAAAATACACCCACATGGAGTCTTTTTTGCATTAACAATTTTGTAAGGGCCCAAACTAAGAAAAATAACAAATCACAGGGTCCAAAATTGTAATTTACTCTTTAAATACCAGTCATACAAACATAAGTCGTTAAATGTAACAACTTATGTTAACGTTATGAATAACTCTCTTGTTATTCATACAATTTATTTAATACCAAAAACAAGCATCAATTATACAGATACAAACAATCACTTTAATTTGAAAAAAAGTTATGATTTTCGTATTATTGGTTTTAAAATTTCAGTTTTCATCTTTATAATTTGTATTCTATTGCTATTTTAGTTCATGAGGCTAATTTTTACTTTTTAAGTATGAGAGACCAGAACAAAAATGAATTATAAACTATAAGGACAAAAAACAATAAATTGTAAACTATAAGGACCAAAACAACAATAAAACGTGAACCATATAGATGAAAATCATAAGTTTAAATACAAAGACGAAAATATCAATTTTCAAAAAACTACAGGGATTAAAGATGTAATTTACTAAAAGAAGAAGGTCAAAAACCCCACTGAACTCCTATGCAAGAAATGGGGTACAAATACCTTCCCTTAATCCACTTTTTGTTTGGGGGTACTGTAACTGATTTTATGCTATAATTAAGGGGCCTTAATGAAAATTTGCCAAATTTCATTCAGACGTTAGGAGCGTTCAACGCCTCTTCGAAGGCATTTTGCTTCTGGGCAGTTCCTAATGGACATGGAAGAACACAAAAGCATATGGAAGTCGGAGGAGGAAGAATCGATGGTTTCGGTGACGGTGGGCAGAGTCATGACTACTCTGCTTACTGCTCGACCTACTAAGCTCATCGACTCCATTTCTCATCTCCAATCATCTCCCAACCCTCATAATCTACTTGCTCGTGAGTTATAATCTTTCTTGTGTATTACCAAATTATTATCCCCTTATTTTTTCATTACAATTTGTGGGTTTTCAAGAATATAACATAAGCGGTTTAGTTATTTGAGATTATTGTATGCAATGCTGAAGCTCTGACTGTTGAATGTTATGATTGTTTTGTATTGTAGTTTCGTTGGAGAACTCGTTGCGGATTCTTCACAAGTATGTTAAGGATGGAGCTGAAAAGGAAGAGCCTCTAGATGCAATTCTGATTCCCATGATTGAACATGTATGTATAATTGTTCGAATTCTTGATGGTATTGCGTTTTGAATTTGAAGTAAAACCCAATTCAATCGACAGCAATTGATGATGGTATTTGGATGGGAAGATATTTTAAGTTGTTTATTGTTTGGTCTATCAAGTAATGGACAATAATGCTTATGAACATATGAAGAGCTTCTAGTTTTGGGCATGTGGTGTTAGAATCAGTTCATTATAGTTTAAGAACTGAAAACTAAAAGGTAGGGTTCTAATTGTTTTCATGTTTATTTTTTGTGGGGTAAGCAAGTAAATCTGTACCTCTAGTTCTTCATCAGCATGGTAGATAGTTCATCAAATGTGAGTATTTCAAGTGGTAACTCTTAAAACGGCTATCTTATGATGTTTGAAATGTCTGATCGTATCTTGTTTTGCTTTATCCTTCTAGGCAGTGTTTGAATCCTGAATTTTTTGTTCCTTTTATTAATTTCCATCTGGCTTATCCTATCACCAATGTTCAACAGAGGATACTCTTTCCATTTGGAAACTAGATTTGATGTGACTCTTGAAGGTCAAAATTTAAATCTTAAGATAAAGTTGATATGATTTTGTTTGAAATTTTAAATAATCAACATGGTCGTCTTATTTGTAGTACCTTTTAGGTAGTTCATGTTAGTTATTGTATATTGATGGAAATTTTATGTCAAATATGAATCAAGGAATCCACAAATTGACTTCCTAAATTCAAATTGTATCTCACTAATTTGGAAGGAGGTGGTAAAAAGCGTGTATCAAACTACTGATTCTCAGGTCATGTTAACAAATGGAGATTAAATTCGTTCTTTTTTGTCCAGTCATTAAGATGTAAGGAGTCGAAATACAAGAACCAGGAGATGATTATTCTCAATTGGCTCTTTCAAGACGAAGTTCTTTTTCAAGCATTAGCAAGAAACTTTTCTGACATTGTGCTGAGGAAAGAGGACCGTCATATTGCCTTGGGCTGGTGCATCCTTGCACGCCATCTCATAGAGTATGATGTTACTATGGGTCGGTTTTCAACAACTGGTAAAGTTACAAGACCTTGCCTCAAATCCATGTAATGATGTAAATCTTTATGGTCACTTCTCAGTGAAGGAGATAGTTTCAACACTAATAACTCAAGCAGTAGTTTATGCCCTATTAATTAGACATCCTCTTTTAAACAAGGAACATTCTGCTTTTATAATAAATCTCCTCTTGCCTAACTTTCTATTATTCTGACTTATTATTTGTGATAATCAACGAGGGTGTGATGGAGTAGGTCAACCTATATCTATTCTAATACTACATAATAGGTTAGAAGTCAGGGTATAAGAGTTGCTAATGTACGCGTCTATAGAGGGAAGCATCATGAAACTCAACTCTTTCGGTATTCAAATTTTCATGTGGATCAACAAATGTTGACAGAGGTTTGTGGCCATGCAAATTGACTTCCTTCAAAAAATCAGTATCATAGTTCTATTGATACAAATAATCCATTAGGTGACCTTGAAACTGAGTTCCAAGTAATATTTGACTTCCCCTGGATAGTTGATGCTGTGTTCATCTTCGAAGAATATTTTGACTCTTGAAATATAATCTACATCACCAACGAGGATATCATCCTCAACTAGAGTAATACTGTAAAGTGTAAAGGCTGGGTGAGGTGCAGTTGAATGAAGTTTTACGCACACAAGTAGGTTGGGATGGATCTCATTGTGCTCTCTCTTTAGAAAGTTATGTTGTTGAAATTAGATTTTTCTTGAAATAATCCTCGAGTGCTCTCATTGTTAATCAGGTTTTCTCCTGTTAGAGTTTCTTTATCTGCAGAAAACTGTATCTTGGATTTTCTCAAAATAGTAGACAACCAATTATGTATTGTTTGTTCCTGTCAGAAGGAAGATTCTTTGGAGTTTGAAGGCTTATAATTAACTGTAGAATCAACACATTTTTATATTTAGCATGTTGCCTATCATTGTGGCAGCCTCTGCATTTCACCTTGGGTTTTGAAAATGGAGAAGTTATGATGCCATGATGTAAAAATTTGCAACCACAACAACTGAGTACTTGCTGGCCTAACACTGATGCAGACACCTGTAATCAGTAATTTTTTTTTTCTTTCTTGCTGCAGGGATAAAGGAAAGGTACACTGGACTCTTGGAGAACCTTTCCATATGCAGCACCCATTTATTGTCTCTAATAAGCAATGGGAGGTACATATTTACACTGCAGTCTTCCTCAGTTTTAGCTGGATTATTCATTGCTTATTATGGCCTACTCAATGACTTGATATCTGGTAACATTGATTTAGTTGCTATATCTAATAAATGGATCAGGATATGTAAGATCTACGTATGTATGTAAAGCACTCTTGTGACCCTACAATTCAAGGTTCTATCATAGGTCCTCCCTATCACCATGACTCCGCACGTGCAGCTGTCAAATTGTCATAATTCTGAAACCATAGGTGGAGACATGTGTACAGGTAGTCTACTAAAGCAAAGACAGGCCCACTATATTATCTGACGATATTACAAGAAGAACATACCAATTGGAACTCAAGGTTGCAGATGCGTATGTATCTATAAGTTTTGGAGATGCTATTATCCAAGGCTGTCATGTCATAGGCCAAAGATCCAGCTTGGCTTATCCACTCCAAGCTTCAGTCAGGATAAGCAGATTTTCAAATTTAAGTAGAAACCTATTGCTGTTTTCCAGTCCAGTATAGATAATTGATGCTTCAATGAAATTTAATACTAAGAATCAAGATAGCATAAAGGATATTGCTGACAGAGAGATTGATATAATTGAAGAAGAAACATATTTTCCAAGTTATCCCAAACTAAGTGGTATTGGTTTGCAAATTGCAATTCCCCATTGATCCTTTCTGATTCATTTCAGTGTTCTAACCCAAGTCACTAGTTCTCTGTTACTACTTCTATCCAGTACATCCTTTGACGCTCTCAACTTGATACATGTCACTTCTTGAGGCTGCATTTGGAGATGCAAGCATCTCAAGGGATACTCCCTTATATTCTTTTTCAATTGTGCAGCAAAAAATTATGATTATATCTGATTCTTTTTATAGAAAATGGTAAATAGTTAGTACATACAGAAAACTGGAAATAGATATCCACTAAATATATTCTCCTTTGTTACACCAAAAATTACCTTTACATTCTTGGTGGTTCACTAGTCTATGCATCCCTACTCACCATGGATAGTTTGTTCCTCCACAATTTGAGGCTACCTTTGATAAAGTAGAGTGAAATGCTATAGGGGATTCATTTATACTGATATTTGAATATGACCTTAGGGCACCGTTATCTTGAAATGGATATGAAGTTTGGGATATTGATAAAAATACTCACAACATATGAAGTGTCTTGGTTTCTGTGCCTTTTTTATTGATGAACATCAACTCATGTATACAGAGAGAATTAGAAAGGTTTGACATGCCATCCTAAAAAGTCAAAGCTTTGTTAATTGGAACACAATATGATTTCTTATGAGAGACTAGGGATGTAGCTTTTGTCCTATCTTTGTTTTTAGGATTTTCATTTGAAACATCTGGTTTTAACTTGTCTAATGGAGATGGTGTTTACTCGGGAAATTGTACAAATTTTCCATAGAACTTTCGTCATTGCTCAGTTAGAGAATGTTGTGTAACTTGTAAGTCGTAACTGCAACATATTGTTTGATATAACTTATAAATGGGCTTTCACAGTTACGTGTTTACACCTTGAGACGGCACCATAGAATTATGCTTCAATATTTGGTATTGCTGGTACCGTTGTCGAAATAGTTTCAGTTATGTTTTCTCTTATATTTTTGTTGTGGTAGAGGCTCAATAAAGAATGTTGTGCAACTCTTAAGTAGTAATTGCAACAGATTGTTTTATACAACTTATATACCTAATGCAATGCTCATGGTGGGAATGGGATCAGTGTCAAAAATAGTCTTTTTGTGTGTCATGCTATCTTCATGATGGGTGTCCCTATTACAAAATTTTAAGCTGAATTTAGTTTTTCTACTCTTATGGTTGATATCTGCTTTGTAGTACTTTGCAGGGTGGGTTTGAGTTACCAACTCGTCTTTCAGTGGCTGCTGCCGATTGTGTTATAGCCCTTAGCATAGCTTTGACAAGAAAGGAGATGGTTTCTGAAGCTTCAGAGAACACAAAAAAATCATCAAAACCTAGTCGACAAGACCTGCAAGGTATATCAGTAGTTGCTGTTGGTGGCCAGAGAAAAGCAAAGTCAATCAGTCCAGCTTCTGAAGTCACAAGGGATATGAAAATGAGCTTGTTGCTTTGGAATCTTTTAGATCGTCTCATTATGCTTGTGCAGAGACTCCATGCTGTATGTTCTCAAATTGTTATCACTTAATTTCGTGCAGTTGCGCTCCTTTCGATATCTCAGTTACTGATTACCAGATGTTTTGATTTTCTCATCTTCCAACATAGGATGCAAAATATCCTCTTATGAAATATAGGGTGCAAGAACATGACATATATGGAGGGTTAAGAAGCATGTGCTTCATTCTATTCTTTAGTAGCTTAATATTTGCTCACTTTTTGCATTTTAGTCTTCTAGATGAAAGTGAAGTGTATATAAGTAGTCAATAGTCATTATTGCCTTTGATTGTGAGAATTATTTAACAACATAAGCCAAATGCCATATCAGGAACCTAGAGATGTCGTGCTTTCTCTGTATTCAAAACATGAGCCTTAGGCTGTACCCATGTTTCATTGTTCTATTAGTCTCATGAAGTTGATAGTTTCAGGGCTATGTCATGGGAGTCTTGTCTTTTAGCTGGTGAAGTTAGGTGGATTTTGAGATTTAGGGTTTCAAGTCATCTATGATAAGGGTAAGCCTGTGATTATGTAGGTGATGGGATTGAGCGCCTAGAATAAAGAAAATATCTTACATAGTAGAAACGAACAAAACATAACATCTTATCTCCTCAAGTTGGAGCAATATATCGATAATGTTTAACTACTCTTGCACAACTATATATCATATCGCATATTGGAATCCCTCACATTCCTTTGAAAAAATAATAATTATTGTTGATGTAAAGGTACATGGTCAGGGAGAAGGTTGTAGATGCTAGGTACTCTTGGATAAGCACGTACAAGCACACCGCCTTTTTGCATAACAATAGATAACTGGAAAAAGGGTGCTATTGTTGTGGGTTGGCTCTTTTGCTGGTGGGTTGTCTTGGACTAGAGGAGTCACGAGTATAATAGGCAAGAACGATTGGATGTTGGATTGCCAAGTGTAAACTTAACTGGTAGGAGGGAGATATAGATTTCTTTGAGGAATGAGGAGACAAAGTACGAAAACTTCATCCAACTAGAAGGGGTTTGTGTGTGTGTGTGTGGGGGGGGGGGGAAGGGAGGGCACATGATTAGAGGAGCTAGTTTCAGGCCTACTGAAGTTTGCATTGGCTAAAGTGTAGCATCTTCTAAGGGTAGCACTGTAGGACTGTAGCACGTATAACTCTCCTTTATGCATGAGTAACCACCAAAAGCACATTTAATTGATCTTGGATTATATTTGGTTGCTTGCTGACAAGAACTGTGAACAAAACTATACTTTCAGAGAAATTCTATTGTTATTCTCATTGAAAAGCAAAAGGGGTATTTATACAGCTTAGAGACCTAACTAGAATCCCATAATTTAAGGAATTTGATAACATACAAGGAAACTTACCAAACTATACAAATATCTACCAAATCTGTTACAAAAGGAAAAATAATCCCAAGAAATCAGGGATTATATTCACTGTATCAATTCCACAAAAACAAACACAACCAGAGATAGGTGACAAGTGAAAAAGGGTATGGAAGTGTATAAGAGTGAAAGGTGTACCTCCTTTATGAAAGATGAATGAATCCTATACATAAAAAATTGACAGGAAGTACATCTCCCTGTTAATGGTAAGGAGCATAGTGTTGATCAATAAAGTGCACACCACCTCCGGAAGGTGGCATTTTTCGTTCAACCATGCCATTATATTTAGCTATATGCACTTGATTAATGTGTCAGATATGTATTTGTATAAATCAACTGTAAATTAATCTTTGGCATTATCAGTACAGTGGATTTTAAGAGAAGACTCGAGTTGAGTTTTGACTCGACACAAAAAGCACAAGCTTTTGAAATATTTCAACTTCTAGGTTATAGTAAGTAAACCCAAATAACATCAAAATGGTCATGAAGGAAGGTCACAAAGCAATATAAAGCCTTAGACAAATTCAATAGGATAAGATCTTGGCCATCAATGTGTACTTGCTGAAACGGTACAAATGTGGCTGACAAAGGAACTCAGAGAAACAAGGAAAATGATGTCTTAGTTTTTCAGGGTATATAGAGAATGATGCCTCGGCACCACACAACTTGATACTAGGCTACTTGCATCACAAAAGTTTGCCATTAGTTTCCATTAAGTATCTCATTGGTAAAGTTCCTTAGGCCCATATCTAGTCCCAGTCAAATGGTGTTTGCAAGAAGAATTTGAGTGGGAAAGACCTATATAACCATTTTAAGTTTCTAGTTATTTGGCTAACATAAGGTCAATCAGGAGTTATTTATGTGAATCCTATACCAGTAATGGATAAACCATTAGCAGTCCTAAGTTCCTAATAACAAGGTGTGCACGTGGTTTAGAAGTAAACAACATATATGCATTCACTTTCAGGCGTTGAGGAAAATGAACATGCAGTAGAATAGGTAGGAGGTATGCTTGTGTGTGATGAAGTTTATTGACCAAATTGAAAGCTTTCCATCATTAATGTGTTCCATGATAGGCAATATGAGCTTGTATAGGTTGGACCAGGCGATAACCAAATTCAAGCCTTTTATTGGCAACTGATAGAGGACATAACTAATGACTATAATTTTCCAAAAAGGAATCAAAAGCTCTCATCTGCAAAATAATTGGATAATTGGGGTAACTAGAAACAATACCCAAAAATCACGGGTATATGTATATGTATATGTAGTATGTTGATAAATAGAGTACCTAAACTTCTAAGTACTTTCTAAACACTCATTTGACCTAAAAGTTCACTTCCGTTCTATGCTGTTAATTGCGGTGTTGTTGTGCTGCAATAGCGGTGCAATAGTGGATTGTGGACTAAGATAAAATTGCGGTGGTCAAATTGCGGCGGAAATTGCTTTTTCGATATTAGCGGCGCAATTGACCGATATTTGAGCTGTATTTGAGGTGAAATTGCAGACCGATATTCCGATATTTTAGCTTGGGCCTCTTTAGAACTATGTTGACTCGGATGCTGAACCTATTGCTTGCGATTAGCTCGTTTATGAACATTTTTCCTATTTTGTTTTGTGAAACTTGTTTAACTTGATGCTTTGATGTTGAAACTATATTTTTAATTAATGCATATGATATGTTTATGTATGCATACATATATATATATATATTGTATACTTCTAAGAAATATTATATGAACCACTATTTTTGGACCGCTATACCACCGCTATAACCGGTATTTCAAATATCGGTCCTGACCGCAAATTTGGATTTTCACCGCTATAACTTCCATTACATGCGAGTATCTCCATCACGAGTTATTACAAGGTCTATATTTTGTCAATGGACCTAGAACCTTCTTAGGTCAAGATCCTTTGAGGAGGTAGAGCTTGCTATAAGGCTATAACTCATGGAGAGCTCATTACTGTGAGCGATTTAAGAAGTGATCATCCAAAGTGAAATCAATAATTAATAAAGTGTGATTTTCAATTAAACAGGGGACAGAGCATTCCTGAATCCTTTCTTGTGTTCATTCTCTTGTTTCTTCATTATTTCCTTCTGTTGGTACAAGTACTTACCTAAATTATGGCGTGCTTCCATTAAAAATATATGGATTGACTCAGGAAAATCTAGGTTTATGATAGATATGCTACCGAATCTGCATCTCAAGAAAGAAGGTAGATTGTGAAATGAGGAGTGAGCTGCTATGGAGACCCAAAAGCAAGGGAAGGGGGTTGGTAGCAACTAGTCTCATGATATTCTTGCATCTATGGATGCTAGCCTTACCTGACACATTCTGGCCATGATTGATGTTGAGGAGTGTATAAGGGCTAGAGTCGGATCTAGAAAGAGTAATTAAGAGCGTGGATACTAATTAATCTTAACAACACATGGTGACCATGGGTGAGGTAAGGCAAGCCAAGCATAGACGACCCATAGGAGGAAGACACGATATGGACATCATGGATCATATAGGGGGAATGTTATGGTATCCATGGCTCAGATTTCACCAAGGAGACGCCTAAGAGATACTTTCACACTTATGAGGCAACATGCTAAACATTCACCGAGGAATGTTCTAGAAGCCTCTAGGAGATCTAGGGATGTTTTAGTGCTCCTCAATCCTCGACACTCCCAAAGACTTTTGTACCAGCAAATAGCATTCTAGAATCTTCTTCATGTTAGATGACTAGATGTTTTCGATATTCTGAATATGAACCTAGAGCTTCTAGGATCTAGAATGATTCAACTTGAGTTTCGTTTAAGATGGGTGAACTCTTTATCTATAAATGATCCAAGAAAGTATCATCCAAGTAACGAACAACTTAGTGTAAACTTGAGTTTCCAAGTGTTATCCAAATAATGAACAATTTCATGTGATCATTCTCTTGTACATATCTCCCCCTTTGTCTGGCACAAGGCTTAGTTAGCTCAACTAGGACAATATTGACTTAAATATCACACGGATTGACTTGATAAAATCTAGGTCCATGACCTTAGACTCTATGCCATGTTGAAGTTAAGGGTGTCAAATCATCTCTCATTTTGATGGAAGACCCTGTATGTATAATGTACTTGATGGTCTTGTCGGCCATGAACAAAGTAAATTTTCATAGATAAGGGAATATAACATCTTCTATCAATATCCAAACAAACCAGTGAGATACTGAAGCAACACAAAGAAAATGTCATATTTAGGGCACATAATTGCGCATAGCTTGAGCATGGGGAAGCAGACGCCCTTTACTCGGATTTTTGACATTTAGAGCCTAAAAACGATGGTGTCATCAACTGAAGGCATTGTCATGACCTTCCTTGGTTCTTACTAAGTTGTGAAGTCATATTGCTTTTCTTGGGTGACCTCACTGCAGCTCAAATGGCCTCTTATGTTATAGTTAGCTTATGTCCAAGTAGCAACTTCATAGAGTGCTCAAGTAATATGATTTCATGGTAAAACTATTAAAGTAAGAGATGAGTGTATGAGCATCTACGTTTGTTTGACTTTAAACTATTGCCATCATCTGATGTAAACTGGTATCTTAAGGAATCGAAATTACCATATTCTTTTAACTAAGAAAAATGTACTTGCATGATCAGACACTTCGAAGGAGATACGACCCCAAAAGAGACACGATTCCTTGCTATTTTTTCTTTCACGTCATGCAAAAGCTTTGATCCTACAAGTTTTCCCTCTTTTTGCTAATATCAATATTTTCATTTTTATCTTTCATTGAACTTCTAGTTGAGGTATTAACTATTACCACTGTGGAGCTTTTTGCTAGTTCTATGCCATTTTTGAAGGAGTATTTCCTAAATTTTTTTTATTCAACTAGAGCATTCGAAGTTATTTTCAGTCTCCTGCTATCATATCGGTTTTTGCTTATTTTATGGTTAGAATATGTTGTAAATGGAAATTGATTTTGGTTGGATTCAAATACATTTGGAATCTACTAGAAGGGTGCTCGCGTAATGCAGCGAGATACATCTTCGTTTTAATGTTTTGTTTTATTTTTTGTCTCTGTTGATACAGTACGGTTTATGTGGTTTTGATAAAGATAATGTTTTTACTTTTGAATAAAAATATATTTGAAGATATCATAAAAATTTGAAAAAATATATCGATATTAATATCAAATTAACTATTTAAAAGTTCTCGTTTTTTGTACAATTTTTTTTGGTTCAATTTTTTTATTATAATTTAATTTAGATCTAATAGCGAAGTAATTTATTTTTTGCTTAACAATATAATTTTTATAAAGATAATGATTCTGTTAGAACTCATTGATTATCCTAATTATATTTTAGAAATTTTATATTTAAAATAAGATGTTTATCTTGTATTTGATTATATTTATCTGCAGTTAGTTATATGAATTCAAAATGGAGCTTTAATAAGTTGTACTTACGCACAATTTACTTGTAATCTTAAGTTATAAGTAATATGCATTAATAAACAGTACTTCATGCATAAAGAATGGTTTTTAAGAGTTTTTGTCAAATGCTTTATAATGTAGTATAGATATGCCAAGTAACCCTTACTCTTTTTTTGTATCTCAGTGGAGCAGGAAAAGTCGTTCTTTGAATGCAAAGGGATTGGAAAGAGTTCTGAAATGGTTGCATGAGACAAAAAAGAAGTATCATTTTTCTCAAGAGGCAGGTACTGTCTTCATTGTTGTTCCTTCATGAGTTTATGAACTTCCTTACACCTGCTATCCTGATCGTCCTTTGGAAGACAGGTCCGCCGAAGGTTAAAACTGGCATGTTGCTTCTCTCATCTTGTTGGAAACACTACGGCATCCTTCTGCATTTGGAAAATCATCGAATTTCTGATCGTCACAATGAATTGCTGGACCAGTACTTGGCCGGTATTGAGGTTAGATATAACTAAAGTTGCTTCTAGCTCTAAGTTTTAATGTGCCACCAGTATTGTAGCATCCATGTGATCTTTTTTTTTTGGGGGGGGGGTCACTTTTTTTTCTTTGATCAACCTGGATATTCAACCCGCTATGCGAGCCGACTAATCCCAGGGCGACCACCTGCTTTGCAGATAACCCGGAGTCACCACATTTGAACCTCCGTGGCCACAAGGGAATTTTTATTCCTCCTTGGATTTGAACCTGGGACCTCCTGATACTTTTGACCTTTGGAGCCAAGCTTAAACCAATCAGGCATCACCCTTGTGGTTGGGGGGGGGGGTCACTTTCTAATAGCTTTTGTTGAATTTATCTTTTAGCTTAACACAAACCTATTAAGAGATAAGAGTTGACTTATGTTGAAAAGGATTTGGTAAAATGGAGGCATTCAATAAAACAAATACATGATGTGTGAATAACATCAGCACAGAAGTGCTTAGAAACATGCCATGTAGCACCACGCTTCAGAATGGCTGAAATTCTTCAGAATTGCCAGGACTCTTTGTAATTATTTTGGGTTTTGACAGTAGTTTGACATGTCTCTTACACTTCACTGGGTAAAAAATTGTAACAAAGAGTAAAAAGGGGATTAAATGCACATTATCTTGGTGCAGATGTGGGAGAACAATCACCATGGGTTCCCTGTTCTAATCTCTTTTTTAGTGAGCCAATAATATCAGTTACATATCTTGAAGGGTGTGAAGGTTGTGCAAGCTTGAGGTGGTATAATGAGATTGGAGCGTGTTCATGCTTGTTAGAGCTTGACCAGGGCCGGTCCTAATATTTTGGAGGCCATGTACAAAAAACTAAACATGCCTTTAATTTTTTAATTTATATCATTTATTATATTACTTTTTGTTACATTTTAACGTTTGTTTACATAAATCAACCAATAACTCATCTTTTACTTTGAACAAATTTTAATTTTTAATGTTAGCGTTTTTAACTTTCATAACCCCTCTTATAAGGGTTTGTGAGCGAGGTAGAGGGTACAAAATAAAATGTGAATAACAACCCCCCTTTATATATAATTGACCAATCATTATGAATAATTAAGAGAACACATATCAACAAGAACCTTTTATTAATCTATGTCATTAAGAAAACACTATATTAAAAATTAAAAATGTTCCAAAAAACAAGTAGAAAAAAATATATTAAAAAAATCTAAATTTTCTTAAATATCTGAAGAAAAGTATAAAATAAATCATTAAAAAGACAGTAAACAACCAAAGTTATTCAGAGCATCTCTAATAACTATTGTATAATTTTTCTAAAATAGAAAATAAAAATTTAATATCTCTAAAAAAATTACATTCAACTCTAAAAGCTAAGGCATGGGAATGGACCCCAACCTGTCGGGGAACCCGGTCCACCCGCCCCGGTCGGGGACGGGGCTTCCCCGCTAAATCAGGGATGGGGACGAGGATCCCCGTTTGTCTCAAACCGGGGATAGGGATAGGGATGGGGATGGGTATGGTACTCCCCGCCCCGCCCCGTACCAGTTATATATAATTTAATTAATTAATAAATTATATATATATATATATATATATATATATAATTTCAACTAAAACGGTAATTCATAATTTCCTATTTTCTAGCTAGTTTTATAATCTAAAATTGTTACTTTTTGGATGTTAATATGTAATATTTTGGATGTCAAGTCAAAATACAATTACTCGATAAGTTTTGTATATTACTCGATATGATTTTATATTACTCAATATCTTTTGGTACATGTGGCTTTAAGTTTTTTTGGATTAAATTGATTTTTTTTGGTTTTAGGTTATTAGTTCTTATATGATGTTGTGGTTTTTTGTATTAAAATAAATTCATTTTGGTTTTAGGTTTATTGAAAATGTTTGAGATTTAAACATGCATGGTTTCTCACATATTTAATCTAAAGTAACTTACATAAACGGAAAAAAAATATTTCCCGTTTCCCCATTGGGGATGGGGATGTGATTATATTCCCCGGTGGGGATGAGGATGGGGACGGGGATAGATATAAGTAATCGGGGACGGGGATGGGGATTGAGGTCCCCGCCCCATTCCCATGCCTATTTAGCTACTCTATTATAGCAATTTCAGTATTAATTATTTCATTAAGATATTTTATAGATTTATCATCCCAATACACTTTTGAGAAAACATTATAAAAATTATAATACATTCAATCTCACTGGTGGAACCAAGTAAAATAATATATGTCTCTACTAAAAGTTAAGTTTAAAAGATTTCTACTTTTTTCCCCTCTATTTTAGCATACACTTTAGCATAGTTAGAAATGGTCTAAATCATTATACTTGGAACTCTCAAAAAAGAAAAGCCAAAAGAGACGTTGCTTGTTCATGATGACTACAAATGGAGATGAAAACAAATTAACAAATAAAATAAGAATTAAGAATTTTAGATCTGAATTTGGAGAATAACTTATATAAGGAACTTACTAAAAATAATTAAGATAATTTAATTATCAAATTAATAAAAATTAGAAAAAAAATAATTAAAAAGAATTATATATTTAAATCATCCTTAAAAAAGAATTCCAAAGAATAAAGAAATCGTTAAAAGTCTGTATATTTAATGATTCTCAAAAAATCTGTGATAAAACATGTTACCGGATCCGAACTCGGGGAGACCACAAAGCAGGCACTAATTTCCTATGCATTTTGCCACTGCGCTATGACATCTTTTGTTTTAGCTATTGTATTAATTAGTTTATATAGTAATTTTAATACAAGTAGAAAATTAAAAAATATCGGGAGGCCCTGTGCGGTAGCACCACTTGGCACACCTCAAAAAACGGCCCTGAGCTTGACCTTGAACATCTGAAGATTGTGTTTGGTTGTTTGCTCTATCCATATAGATCCTTGACTAGGGGCCTGTTTGTTAGTAGCTTAATGAGCTTAATGGGATTCACAGCTTACTTGGTCAGCTATACATGACATGTTTGGTAGTGGCTTAATGATATAGAAAGTTGCTTATTCAGTAAGCCTTTTTTGGGAGGGGGGGCTTTATGCAAAAATCCAAGTTTTTTCTAGACCTGCACTTCTCAATTAAAAAACATGCTCTTTCCATCTATGAAGAAACTCTCCCAAGCAAAAACCTTCCCAAGATATACAAACGATTAATCCATAGACAACTTTATCCATACACGACTTTAATGGAAAACCAACCAAACATCCCCTAGCTTTTTTAGAATGAGAACCATAAAACTAACTCCAATGACATAGCCCAATCTTTGAGCTGGTAGAAAGAGGCTTGGTGGTCTGGTTGCCATTATAAAGTACCATATCATAATTTACATTTTCTTCGATGGAGTTTGTTTTTTTGACAAACGAGTTATGCAGTATTATGCAGGGAACTCCACCACAGAACACAGAGATGATAAGGACAGTGGAATAGCAACCATAAATTTCTTCCTGAATTGCTTATTACTTCTGTTGGGGTGTTTTACTTCGAAGCAATTTGATACTGCCATGAGAGAACACAGGCTGCATATTACTCGTGTTGTTGCATCACAGGTAGGTGAACTTGTTGCAACCAATTTTTTCCGCACAACGGTAGACATGACATGGCTTGCTTTTGCACATGTAAAACTTGGAAACAATCATTTAAAGTTTGCTTTGAATGCGTTTAATTATGCATCTTTTTGATCAATTTGAATATTTATTTTTCCTTTCATCTTCAGTGAGTACACTTGGAATTGTATCAGGGAAACCTTAAAAGTCTTATAGAACTTGTTTGCACACAATACTATAGAAATCTATTGTAGTCCTAAGCAAACTGAATAGTTAGACTACAAGACGGCCTAGGTATCGAATCCATGCCACCTTGGTACTGAAACTTAGCTTAGGAAAGAGTAACATTTTATCTCTTACTTTTGTAGAATACAATATCATCACCAACCACGACTCCTGCTAAATGGATACTTGCATGACTAATCCAAATAACATTTGCAGTGGTTGTATATAAAAGATCTTGTCTTGGAGCACTCTTGAGGTATCTTAGTATCTGTGAAACCACATTCAAATGAGTAGTTGGGCTAGAAGAATGAACGAACACCTCTTTATAGGAAAATTCAACATTAAGCTTAGTGACTATGAGAAAGGTTGGTTTCCTAGCTGATCTTCTAGATCATCAAGAAGCTCAACATCATCATGATAAATTCGTCATTTAGGATCATCAGAGAATCTGCCACCAAATGCCTTCGATACCGTATTTAGTCATCCTATGACATAGGAAGATATCATGGCATTTAGCCGTTTCAATACACAAGAAGTACTTGGAACTCTTCAAGTCCTTTTTTTTATATAGATGGGGGAGGCCCCTCCAATCAAGAAAAAAAATATTAAAAACATTTTTTTATAGACGGAAAAGAAAACCAAGGTCAACACTTGGGTGGAAGCTAAACCGAAGCAACCACGAGAAAGGAACAAAGCTCACAGAAACCGAGAAAAGAGAAGAAGAGAAGAGAGAAAAGAAGGGAAGGACCAACCACTAGGGAAGGTTCCAAAGAAGCCTAGCCCGGACAACGTTCCGAGAGGGCTTTACAGTTAGGCTAAGAAGCCTGGACCAAACATCATTGAAGATGGTCTTGACCACCATATCAGAAGATCTCTTATTTTTGAAGATACAATCATTTCTTTCCTGCTAAAGGTGGTAGACAGTACCAACAAGCAGTAATCTGCGAATAATAGACCAAATGGTCTTGCCTTCGGTGGCTTGCTGGAGGACTTTGATGATATCAACCCAGTTGTCCGGGACAACAAGAAGGTTCAGCTTCGGCTTAAGGCCATTCCAAACCTGGTTGGGGAACGGGAACTCAAAGAAAAGGTGTTGATGAGAATCAGGCATGTTATGACAAAACCACAAGACAAATTTGGAAAGGCTTCCCAAACCGAAGCTTATCATGCGTCTTAAGATGCTGCTTCATGGCAACTCAAAGAACGAAAGCATGTCTGGGAATATGTTGAGAGAACCAGACCATGTGGTGCCAATCGGTGTCAGGTTCATTAGGGCGAATAAAGAGTCAGACGTCATGAACCGAGAAAGGGATAAGACGGCCATCTCTATTTGTGCAGAGGAGTTTGTCAGGGACAAAAGGGTAAAGAACAGGGGGAGAATGATCACGAAGAATGGGATTGGAACTATCCCGCATTTGGGGGTAGGTCCAACAACCACTACAAATAATATCCTGAACCTGGGCATCGAGGGAGAGATTTGCGTTAAGGATTGTTCTATTTTTACATGTTCACAATTATATGTTACCAGAAGGCAGACTCAGAGTTCTTCATCAGAGAAACTTTTTGAGTCTGGCTTTTGGTAACATAGAATTGTGAACATATAAAAACAGAACAATCCCATTTGCTACATCTTAACTTGAAATACATCGACTTGTCTTAATCATACCTATCATATTCCTATAGAGTGCCTATGGAGCCAAAGTAGAAGAGGTATTCTAAAGGTCGTACAAATACCTGAACTGCAAAAAGCTAGAAGCCCTTAGAACCATGAAATGGGGAGGTTGATTCATATAAATCTCTGGCTCAAGAACATGAGAATAAATGTTTTTTTGATATCAAGCTAATGAAGAGGCCAATGGTGAGTTCTTGGGTAATCGCAGTCCGGCCCTGTGTCAACCTTAGCAATTGGGCAGTGCCTTCTCATAAATCCTCAGATGTTTGAGAGTACCCTTTAGCTACCGATTTCACTTTCGACCAAGAACATCATCTGGTTTGAGCTTTACAGTATATCCCTAGTTGTGTGTGACTCATCATAGAAGGAAGATCACAAGTCCCTACATATTATTTTATTAAGTAAACATTTCTTCATGCATAGTCTGTCTCCATTTTGGATGGGCAAGAGACATTTGATAAGACTGTCTGCAACTAAGCTAAAATCATATTTTTGGAAAGCACAACTAAGTCTTCGGGAGTCAAGATGATAAAATGAAGCTGTGGGAAATAGACCGGGAGGATATGCCCTTTGAAACATTAGACAATATAGTAAAAAAATGACCATCTGAAAACAGAGATGAACATTTCAATGAATTAACATTGTGCAATCCACCTATCACTATTAGGGGTTTTCAAAGATGTACCAAAAATTGGGTTTTTTCGCATGATGGAAATTAACAAAACCCGATGACATTTAACAATGAGAATTTTAATAAACAAATCCAAATGACTGTAGAAACGTTGTCAACAAAATTGACAACAATATTTGGGACCACTAAAAAGACTTGCACTAATTTTATAGACGGGTTCTGCCCACCACCAAATAATTAGGTGGTGGGACAACRCGAAAAGAGGCCATGCGCCAAGATAGCTCAACGGGTACCCACTCAGAAATCTGACAGTAGAGCCCGGGGTCGTCACCACGGGACATCAAATTCACCACCAGATAACAGGAAACTAACCGCTTCGGAGAAATCCTGGTCGAATAACTTGGATACAACCCTCTCAAGAAACACGATCGGCCACCTATCGGTGGCAGACCGCGGATCAAAAGAGAAGCAGACCCGCGAACCAACAAGCAAGTCGAGAGGCTTTGTTTGATTAAATGTACTGTCCATAGGTATACTACGCAGAGTATCTGCTGAAGAAGAAGGCTAGCTATACAGGGAAATCTCTCTGTAAGGAGAACAAATGAGTTTCCTAAATAGGCACGACTCAGAAAACAAAGTAGAAACTGACCAAGGCTTGGATGCTTGTCACTCACAACCTGGTCCAGAAGTCTGGGAAGTACCTAGCTCTTGCAAGGTACAAAAAGTTATTGAACAATTTAAACACTTTTAATTATATTTAGAAAAGATTAATGAGATATATTGGCATATAGGGAACATATTTGATTCAAATCACGATTAACTTTTGCCAATACTGTGCAATATGGAACCGTTAGTTATCTTAACACAATGATATGGAGGATTCACCATGGTTGCACTGTTTTTATTGCTTTCATGTCATTGTTGCATCTAATACAATAATCAATGATGTAGTACATGTAGATGAACAAGAAACGAGATAACCTGGCTGTGTAACATCAGTTTGGGAAATATGCTGCTCTTCAGAGGAACAATGTGGAGGAAACTGAGCTTCTCCTCTTTTAGTTGAATTCTTGAAGTAGTCATTAACTGAACTGTGTGAAGTAGTCAACCCAGTTCATGGACTATTATCATATCGTCTGCTAAATGTAAACCTTGAACAACTACTTCATCTTTCACTGGGACCTCCTGCTGGGATAATGATTCGTATATGCAAATCAAACAGTAATTGGAAGAGACAACATTCAATATATTTAAGCCTAGGGGAGAGTGGGAGAACAAAATGTCAAACAACCGTGGCCTAACTGGAAAATTGTATAACTCCAAAAGTCAAATAAAAAACTGTTGATAATTTTGGACAATTGGGAACTGTCAAGACCCTCATTCCTTCGTTTTCCTTGCCATAAATTTAGCTGGTCACTTGTTCAGAAAGCTGCAGTTGCATTGAGCTTTCACAGCTCACAGCTACTCAAAGGTTAAATCGGCTCCATCTTTGTTGCTGCAATAAATGCAACATGTAACGATACTAGAGTAGTCTAAGAATGATGCACAGTTTGTGAAGCTTTTAGTTCTATATTGTGCCTACAGACCCATCTTTGCAAAAAGATATTTTTAAGTTCCAACAAGGGATCCTTGCTTACTTCTTTCTTTTCTGAGTTAGCACTGTTTTTAGCTTTGTTTTGACATCCTTATTCAAATGTTCAGTTTGCAGCATAAAAAGTGATATACAGAGTATATGCATTTCATATGATGTAATCAGTTCTACTGTAAACTGACCATAAGACCAATGAGATGATATTGAAATAATATGTTTTAATTGCTGTAAACCACCTTTTCTTTTTGTGGACTGTCATTCTTGGTTATATCCTGGTATATACTTTGAGTTATGCTAATATATTGACTCTTCTGAAGCTTTGTTCAGCCGATGATGATGTGATTGATGGCGCTGTTTCAATCCTAAAGGCAACCATCTTTGGCACAAACCATCTTGCATCTGGGTGCAGTCTTGTAGACAGTAAACAGATGCATTCTGTGTTACCTTTACTGCTAAATCTTTTGGATGAACGGGATGGCACAGCCAGAGCTGTTGTAACATTGATTGCCGAATTTTGTTCCATGTATATATTTGAACTTCCAAATTCTAAGCTTTTAGTAGTTTGATTTTAAGGTTTGCCAGAGATGAGGTGCAAATTAGTTTCTCCAGTAAGTTTTGGTGAGAGATAAACAGAAAGAAAGCTAGGCCCCTCTGTGGGGACCAATGTAGCACGCTTTTGGGTCGTAATTTACATATGTTACTTGTATATCTCTCTTAAGGCCTATGGGAAACTGAGCAGCCAACGACCTCCCGTATTCAATTATTTAAATGCACTAGGTTTAACTCGATCTGATGAAAAATAATTCATTTACCAGGAGCGCAGATAGATATTGCCTTGAAGAAATTCTAAACCGTCTTGCTGGTGAAAATATCGCTCAAAGAAGGAATGCTTTTGATGTTCTTTCAGAAGTCATCCACATTTCATCAGATTCAGCATCTACACTTTCACATTCACTTTGGTATGCAACATGTACTAGTTTTTTGTATTTTTGTTAGTTGTCACTTTTCGATGTTTAGGTTCTCAAACATAATAATCATGTCAGGCAGGAAATAGCAAACCATTTGCTTGATATTCTCAAAGATGAAGATGATATAATTCGTGCACATGCAACCAAACTACTAACACTTATTGGTAAGTTATTGTTAATCAATAACTTGATTTGATTGCTTTGTAAAAATTTGTTTTATTAGGAATTATATACTAACTATCAATGGAAGCTTTTCTGTTATTTGGACAAGTAATATTTACTCAAATGCATGGTGAAAATCCTCTTAATCTGGATCAGAACTATGTTTTCATGCCATTAACGTGTTCTGGTTGAACATAATCTCAAGCGTGACACTTGTATAAAGTCGATATTTATTGATTAAGGGCAACATGCGAATATACAATGATGAAGAGAAGAATAAAAGTGAATATTGCATATGCAACAAATGGAACGGGATCAAATACTACGGAATCAGTACTTGATTGAATAGTCAGTAAGGAGTTGGTTTTTTTCCCTTCCTTCAGCGCCCTTTTCTTCTTCTTTCCTCTCTCTCTCTCTCTCTCTCAGTATCCTTTTGCTAATGATCGCGAAAAGTGGGATGAAAGATGGACTTATGGACGACATGGAACTTTTTCTGTTTGAAAGAGAATTTGATCGCCGGGTCGTGCTAATTCCATACGAAGACCCGTTTTTGCAACTTTAAGTGGGAGTGATGGACGAGTGAAGATCGCCAGCTCTTTCTTTCCTTTCTTATACAAGATTCTAAGGTCCTGCCTTCAGAATTAAAGCGAGCTTTTTCCGGAAGACTCTGTGTACTAACTTTCTCTTCTTTCTTCCAACTCATTTTTAAGTTAAAAAAGTTTAAAGCGGGGTGTAGGTTAGACTTCCAACTTATATTACCAAGTCAATACTTGTCTCTTTTTTTGTTTATCCTCAATCCCAAAGGGGTCATCATTAATATTAATATTTATACTTATTATTAATGAATTCATTATTATCCTTATAATTTTATAATTTTCCAACATATGTTCGTGTATATGATGCTTTTATGGTCTTGCAAATTCTCAACAACTGTACATTGATCTTATTTTTGTTGTAGATCCTTCATTGGTATTGCCTGGATTAGTTCATCTAATTTACTCATCAGATGCAACATTACATTCATCTGCTGCTAGCACATTACTTGGCGTTCTCACATATCACAACCAGAAACCTGAGATTGTTTCCATGGTGCTAGACTGTCTCAGGTATTATTTTTGAGTGATTAGCATTTTAATCATTATACTTGACACTTTATTTCTAGAAGATAAACATGCCTACAAAATCCAAAAAGAAAAAAACATATCCAATGTAGTTGGCCTTCATGCAAGCGAAAAACGTTTTCTGTGAGGTGTTGTGCTTAGACACAGATATATTGGATACATATAATGTGTGCATCTAATCATCTATATATACGTAACTAATTGTCGAAGTTCCTATAGAACTTCAAACTTTCTTCATCTATCTTTTTTTTCTACTTCAGATGTCAATATTCTTGTATTTGGTGCTTATAATTGTTTTTCTTTTTGTCATTATTTCCTCCTCCATTACAGTAATCCCAATGCAAGCTCAGATTTTCAGAAGGCCACGACAAACTACAGATTGGAAGGTATGTGGTTACTGTTATGACCTTGAAGTTCTATTGAGAATATTGCAACACACACTTAACTGTAGAAAGAGAATGGTAGCCATCTTCTAGCGACCTTCAAATGACTATGATGATTACATTTTTTGTATGGCTCTTGGCCTTGTCATTATGTAAAGTCTACAAGCTTTATTAACCATTCGAGGGATTGATTTACCAGCCAAGACTCCTATGAAATATGTTTATACAACAATGTGTGAATTTTCGTACTTTTTTCAATTTAATGCTGGAAAGCACCACCCTGCAAGCACAAAGTGATTTACAATACTCCATCAGTAATGTTCTTTGATATATTTTAATCTGAATGTATGAAGAAAAAATATATTTGTGCTGATGAAGAGAGCTTCACGTGTTGCTTTCCTGGGATGAACATTTTATATGTGCTTCAGGCTTTTTTTGTTGGAATGCTCAGGTACCATTACTATTATACTATAAATCGCTAATACAACAATGGTTTGCAAATTAAAATGGGATGCTTTGGTTCAGCTGCTGCTGAAGTTAGGGGCTGTTTACCAAATTTTTTATCAAGTCCTGTATGAATAAATTTGTCTGTCTGGTTAAATGAGTGTTGTTGTTTACTTTTTTTTTATCTGAACCAACAGTCTGAATAACATAAATGACTAATTTACCCCCCAATATTAATTATTTGAACATCAAAACAAAAAATCATAAAGAGGCCGACGATGAGTTGCCTCATATGGGAATGGGGACAACACACCATTTCTATCTTTGCGATTAAGCCATGTTCTGTGCGAATAAGCCGTAAGTAAACAACCCAAATGAGCTGTGCAAATAAGCCAGATAGACCAATAAGCCTAATTAAGCCACAAGTAAACAGCCCCTTAATCTTTAATGAAATAAGCTTGCTAACAGTGGGAAAGATCTCAATTGCACTCCTTATCTTATCTATACTTGTTTACGTAAACAGATACAGATTTTACTTTGTTATTTCTTTAAGATGAGTCCTAACCAAACAAAGTTCCAAGCTAAGGTTGTGTGGTCCTTGAATTTCTGTTTGACATAACCTGAAAGGTCATCATTTCCTATCACTTTCCAGTCTTATTCGTTGTTGATACCAGGGTTAAAGGGGGATACATATTTTGTATGGTAACTCACTTTCTATGCTTTTTTCATGTGTCAGGGTTTCAGGGGGATGCTGATAGAGTTCTCAAGTTGATACCGGAATGGTCAAGATCTGTAAGCTTGAATACTGATATCCTTTAAACTACTTGCCGTTAATTTATTTTATTTTATCTATCCTCGTTTTTGCTTTTATTTTATTTTTGGTTGTCACAGTTCAATGTTTAGTGTTTGTTGTCCTTGAGGGTCATACATTCTGCATAATCTTCACCTGCTGCCTTATTCATTCATATATTCTATATATTACATAGGCGAGTGCACTTTGTAGTCTTTTGATAAACCACATTTAAAAATCCATCCTAGTATTCATTCTAACCTAATATATAATTAGGTTTATACATATATACACAAACCTACGTATATACTCTTTCGCTGTTGCTCGTTTTGTGCACCCAGATGTCATATTCTTTAAACTATATATTAGCATGACTGTAGTTGTAAGTTGCTATATTTTCATATGATGGGAAGATAAAATAAAAGGAGAACACAATAACAAACAAGAGCGGACAGGAAGAACTAGCTGGGTTTATTCCTACCAGTTACTGATCCAGTTAGATTTTCTTTCTGTTTGCATGCAGGATTTAGATTATCTCTTTCTCTGAGCTTTTGATTTCTTTTAGGTCAAAAATTGGAAATTATTGGCTGGGCCACTGGTAGACAAGATGTTTGCTGATCCATCAAATCCGATCATCGTGAAGTTTCTAAGTTATATAAGTGATCACTTAGCCGGAGTAGCGGATGTAGTCTTCCAACGAATTCTCTTACATACAGAATCACAAACAGAGTAGGTCCTTCAATATTTCTTGTTTGTTCATCATGTATAATTATGGTAGTCTAGAATTCTTTCATCTTAAATTCTATATTAATACAAGTATGGGAAATTTTGAAATGTATTCCATTTATTGCTTGCTTTTAACCTTTACATATTATTTATTAAATTTTGTTTTTTGCTTGCAGAATCGATGAAAGCTTCTTGAGTGAACTGGATACATCCTATGCAGAAAACGATGTAAAACTGCAGCATTCTCTCTTTGATCGACTTTGCCCACTGCTTATCATAAGGCTTCTTCCATTGAGAGTTTTCAATGACCTCAAATCTTCTGTTGTTTATGGTAATTTCGGTCGAAATAGTAAGCATGGCATGCTTACAATCCCCCATAGCATCTACGTTTTTGCTGGTTTTCCATCGTGCCCCTGAAAAGATCTATACTAATGAATGGGTCAATTCCTACCTCCAGGTGATAAAAATGAAATCAGTGGCTCTCAGTGTATTGCAGATCTCCTTCTGAAAAGGTTTTTCTTCAAGCGCAACTGTCATCTTCCTTTTGATCATTAAATGAGAATCCTGATGGTGGTCATTGCCATTAAACTGTTTCAGGGCATTCAACAAACTGGAATTTGAAGATGTTAGAAAACTTTCAGCTGAGCTCTGTGGGCGGATTCACCCAAATGTATGTTGCACATTGACCATCTTATCGTTTACTGTTATGTCCTATCCAGTTTTAAACTTCCTCAAAAATATTGTACCACTTTTTGGGGATTTAGGCTTATACGCATTGGGGTGATGAGGATGAATTATCTGCTACCATTCTAGTCAGAGCGCACAATGTCATCATCACGAGTCTTGACTTCAAAAAGCAATACATCACAAATTTACCATCCCGTTGACCTTGCCATATGTTTTGCAGGTTCTCATTCCAGCTGTTTCATCTGAACTGGAAACTGCTACAAATGATCATGATATATTGAAGATAAAAGCTTGTCTCTTTTCGATTTGCACATCCCTAGTGGTAGAACTCATTTCCATCGTCACCTTCAGTTTTTGTTCTTTGTTCATATGTTCATGGTAAAGATATATGATACTAATTACGATTTTTGCTTTCTAGTAAGGGTGTGCAGTTTCTTTACCTGATTATGTTTTTTGTGCACCTGTTTATATTTGTACATTATTGTTTAACCGGTCCTAGTCGGTCCTTTTGGGTTTTTAGTTATAAAATAACAAATACATATATAAAAGTATGAAGTGGACAATTATTTTAAAAAATACCCAACTTTTAAAAATTTATTTTAGATTTGTCTCTCTTTCGCAACTTCTGACAATTTGAGGTCTGCATACATCTTACACCTCTGGGTGGGTTGTTTGGTTTGGTTTTTAGTAATCTAAAGTAGTGTTTCCATATAGGTTATTATTTTGTATATAATGTATTGTAATCAATTCTCATGAAATGTAAGATATATTTCCCTCGATGCTCAGGTCTTGTTTACATGCCGCAACTTCTTTTTTCTTATGGATATAGGTTAGAGGGATGGAGTCCATCGGTCATCCTGGCATGTCCCAACTTAGAGAATCAATAGAAACTGTTCTGTTATGGCCTTCTGCGGACGGAGATGAAGGTAAGTATTTCCCTTTGTCGAAAATACTACGGGTCGTTTACCAAACTTTTACCTGGTAAGCGCTTACTCGTAAGAGTCACCACCCACACTTATCTTATAGGGTAACATATTTTTTGCCATCAAAATAGATTGTTGGTATGCATCTCTTACCCTGTAAACACTAACCGGGTAAGAGTCTTCTCCCTCACTTACCGCGTAAGATTTTTGGTCCTTGCCATACTCACCCAGTAAGCATTTGGTGAGCGACCCCCAAGTTTCCTAGCTCTCAACCTTGAGGACGAGCTCAACTGGCAAATAAAGGCCAAGCCTTGGGGATCCTCCCCATAGGTTGCCACTAGGATTTTTCCTGGCTGTTATTTGAGGTGCACGCAAGCTAGCCTAGACACTTACGGTTACTCAAAAGAAAGTTCTCTAATTCTGCTAATTAATTGTCTGCATGACGTCAATAAACAACATATATCTGTCTCAGTTTCGAAAGCACAACATGGATGCATTGATTGTCTTGCAATAATGGTGTGTATCGAGCTTCAAAATTCAGAACCGTCGAGAAACTCAACCTTGAAGGAAACAAACATTGTTCGAAATGGTTTGTACCTTTGATTTAATAATTTCTGTCTGGTTACGAAACTATTGCACTTATTGCTTGCTGAAGTTTCACTCGTGTTTATAATATCAGGAAAGAGCAACACTTCTAGATTTCATGCTTACGTGCTTGACCGACTGACTGGTGACGAGCACAAATTATTGTCCTCCAATCCGGGGTCAGATAATCATATGTCATCAAAACAGTTCCTCTCGTTTCGACTATGCATGGCCAATGTCCTCATCAGTGCTTGTCAGAAGATTGCAGATTCCGGCAAGAAACCATTTGCTTTGAAAACTCTCCAAAGAATTACTCACTCTGTTAGGGTACGTTGTGTTCCTTTTTTTCTTTTCAAATGATAGCTTCTTGAACACCACTTTTTGCAAGCCAAGGATCTTCTTGGAAACTGTCTGTCTCTTGGGACAGAGGTAAAGCATGCCTACATTGCCCCCCTCCGGGCCGGAGTGCAGGACTGACCTCTGGTGGGATATAATGGGTCTGTTTGGTTTCTTAAACAACACCTGGGTCATCTGGTATTGTTTTCTCATTATGTATGTTATTCGGGCTTACCAACTCTAATGCCTAATTGTATTAACAGAATGTGAAGGAACCTGAGATCAGAGCTGCATGTATTCAGGTTCTTTTCTCCATCGTGTACCATTTGAAGTCTGTCGTCCTTCCATACTCTTCTGATCTTCTCAAGGCCTCGTTGGAATTTCTAAAGCATGGCTCCGAAATGGTATTTGCACCTCCATTTATTATTTTTACCATCTTTCCTTTTGTAGCGGTGGGTGTTTGCACTAACTTGTGTACATCTTGACTAATCCCAAGACCTGAAGTTAACTCAGTCAAATCTCAGGTGGCCCTAATGTCTTGTCATTTCAGAAAAGAGTCCATGTTTGGCTTTTAAGCTTCAAAATTGATTAGAATCAGAGGAAAATGATATAATTCGTTTTAAAGATTGCAAAAAGAAACATGAAGAATTCAAATTCGAAAAGGTGTGAATACATCCTATTATAGGGTTTAGGTTTTAAGGCAGTCCAAAACCCTACCTCTGGATGTACTGGTTTTTTTTGGTAATTCTTCTATTTTTCGTGTCGTTAATCATTATAACTACTTAATTGTTGATCAGGAAAGGATGGGCGGTGCCAAGTTACTAGCATCGTTGTTGGCAAGCGAGGAGGCGGTTGTGCAAAGTATTTCAGAGGGGTTGTTAGAAGCAAGAACCCTACTTTCAACAATATCTCTAACAGATTCTTCATCAACTGTTAGACAATTGTGCACACAATTGCTTGCATGCATGACTTCTCCTTAGATCTTGTGGAAAAAGGGTTTTATGTTACCTTTTGGAACGGCCCATCATGCCTGTCCCATGGACATCATTATCATGATGTACCAGGACAAGTGGACGGAGCCGTTTTACATTTTCCCTTTTTAAGATTCTTGTAAATATAGGACATGAACCTGGTACAGATATCCAAAAAGTTATTTTTAGATTTTTTCTTTCCAGATCTATTTCTAATACCAAGTAGCTAGTTTGTATTTGTTTTCATGATATTGTACATGCCATCCACGAATCTTACTTTCGTTTTGGTTTTAAACTACCTCCATATTCTCAATTTTTTGCTCGAATTCACCAAAAAACTGCTTTGCTTTGACGGTTTGACTTGTACTTCATTTGTAACATGTCAAGTAGCTTAAAAATTACTCCCTGCATTCCAAAATAAACGTTTAGATTTCAATTTTAGGTGCCGTTTACCAAACGCTTATCCGGATAATTGCTTACCAAGTCATTTTACTTTACCGGATGAATATGGCAAGGACTAAGAATCTTACCCGGTAATAGCGAAGACAAGAATCAAAAGTCTTACCCGGTAAATGAGGACGAAGACTCTTACCATGGTTAGCGCTTACCGGGATAAATTGTTGCATACGATGCGTTTTAGTGAATAAAATCTTACCCAGTAAGTAAGCGATAGTGTTGAATTTTACTGGTAGTGCTTACTGGGTACGTGTTTTAGTTTGTTATAAAATAGGTATCCACTTTTAAAAGTAAATATTTACTTTTCTATTCCATTTTTAATTATAAGATGGAGTTTATTATTAAGGGTAAAATTGTCTTTTGCTTAATTAAAAAAAATTGTAATAACCATAAATTTATAAAAATATATGTCATTTTATTGTGGATGTCTATTTTAGAAAGAGGAGTAAGTGGAGAAACGAGTCAAATGGGTCAAAGTGAATTAAAAGCCGTCTATTTCAATGTTTATAACATCTAAAATTGTTATATTTAAGTAAATTATATTATTATTATTATTATAACATGATTTTTTGTAAATGTATTTAAGATTTTAGTTATCATAAAGTTTAAAGAAAATAAATGATAAAATGTTGGTAGGTCAAATCAAATCCGATCAATTATTATAAAAATGTTTTGATCTGTTAAATTGTTTAATTAATCTATTTTGTGACATTAGAATCTACGTTTGTGGAGGAATTTATCATCATAGAGTTTAATCATATATCAGATTAAATATTACGTTTTTTTTAATTTTAAATTTCAATATCGATGCTTAATTGGTAATTGAAATGATGAAAGACATAAGAATAATTAAGAAGTAGAATAAAATAAGATTAACATATAAAGATCATTGATATCACACCAATATTATCATCTCATTGTTTATAAGTTGCAAAAAGTAATATTTTTGTATTTAAATGATTCTCATGGATTATTTTGTAAGCCATCAAGGAGATTTCGCAAGTTGGTTCCACCAGAATTATATTTAATTTTAGAAAAATATCGCGAGTTGCTAAATGGGCACTTGCAAAATCTTGGCTATTTTAGTCGAAATGGGAAAAACGTTGGGTTAAAAAGTGAATATGATGGAGCCTTTTGGTTATTTTTGGCTATGAAAGTATGAGTGCATAAACTATTTAGGTTTGATTTTAAATGCAAAAAGAACAATTGATTCTAGAAGATTTAATTACTGAAAATCGCTTCCCAACGACATGTTCTTAGTTTGTTTAGACAACGAAGATATAATTCTGGTTTACGTTTCAGGTTAGACCCGAGTTTTAAACATGAGATACTCATCAAAGCGTTGATTTTCAATTTAGTACTCGAGAGGGATTCTAAATCCCATATTTTGCTTGTTATCAAGAAATCAAAAGTCTAAACTGTTATCCTTTCATTCTCTCACGGAATCAGAAACAAACTCATCAACAAATCGAGTTCTTGGTGTGGTTAAGCGGCAAAAGTGAACCAGAAAGTGACGGCAAGCTCTAGCAAGAAATCAATCAATAAATGTATATAATTTGATGTTTATCATTTATAGAGTAGCACAACACATTCTAAAAGAAGGTTCGAGATTGAGACCAGAAAACTGACAATTCTAGTTATCGTGATAATCGAGTATTAAGATTTGATTTTGTTGTGTTATATGGTGTAAATCGATGTCTACATGTGTTTACAAATAATTATATATGTTACAAGTGTTTATAGGCAAAAAGAACAACCATATATAATATTAGTATGATCGAAATCGACTAGAAAGTTGTATGCATTCAATCAGTCGGCCACTGATAGTGTTAAGAGAACCCAAAAGCGCTTAGTGAGCTCGCCAACAAAGGTCGCATACATGACATAGCGAGCAAGACAAAAAGGTCTGAGTTCGACCACAATTACCGTCAAGGTTAAAAACAAGTTGACCACCATAAGTTGGTTTCAGTATTTAGTAGCTTATTAAGACGCTCAATATGTCTGATACAGTTTATAGATATATTTTTCCAGTTAATTCAAAACAAGATCGAGTCTAATGCAATCAACAAAACATGATACGTGTCTATGGGGTTGTTTGTTTACCTCCTAATAGTTTCATTAAGAGGCAAACTCTGAATCGTTAAGAGGTGAATCTTGTTTGACAAAAAAAAAAATCTTTCTCTTAATGGTTCTAAAACCCTCTGAATGATTTTGTATCATGTATCTCTCTTAACCATTAAGAGCCTTAATTTTAATATACACAAACAATTATATTTCATTTTGGTATCATGAAAACCTCTTAATCATTCTGACTTAAACCATTCAAACAGTTGCATGTGGAACGACAGCTGACTCAATACGACAATGCAACGATAACAAGAAGGAAGAGCATGTCAAAGCGACAAAAGTGACATTTTCCTTGGTTTGTTCAAAATGTATCCGATAGACATGGAATAAAAAGGATTTGTGAGAAGTAATCTGGGCCGTCCACGTAATCATATTAATGATCTATGTAATAAACAGCGACCTTCCGTTGGGGAAACCGACATAACCCAACCATCACCGAACAAGAAATTAATCGATCGATTGATCCTCCCATCTTCTCTCCATCTTTTCCCAAATCCACAAATAAATGCTGCAGTTATTCTTCGCCGTGGCCTTCTCGGCGGTTCCATTGACGCTGTACGTGCCGCCGATCAGGAGCCTCAGTCTCTTCGTCGGATCCTTTCAACATCTCCTTCATCACATCACCGTCTACACCCTCCGCCTTTGCCCTCGCTTGCGCCTTGCTTTCTCTCGGATCTTCTCTCCCATGCTTCGCTCGCACTTCCGCGACAGGTAACAAAACGACGCCGTGATTGTGTACCTGTCGGTAAATGTTATCCAATTGAACTCTACTATTGTTTTTATTTTTGTACAATTTCGTGAATTTCTCGTTTGAATAGGTATATGAAAGAATAAATTAGTGATCTGATTAGTTTGCTCATTCAGTGTATTTTCATTTCCGTAAGGTTATGTGGAAATATGATTGAATTTAGATGAGATTTTGCGTATAGAGTTTATGGATTTCTGTTAATTTTTTGTGATTGATGTCGTCTTTGTTAGGGTTTGATTCCAAATCCTAACGTTGTATTATGTGCATTACAGAGCTCTTGATTTGAATCTACATGAGATTTTACATATAGACATGATGTATTTTGGATTTTTGTTACTCAAATTTCTGATGATCGATATCGTTTTCTAAGGGCTTGATTCCGAAGTCAAACACCGTAGTATTTGCATACAAAGCTTATGATTGCAGTTAGATGACATTTTAACATTCAGACCTGATAATTTTTGGATTTTATGGTTTCTGATTGATGATCCATAACGTCTTTGTTAGGGATTGATTCCAAGGTCGAACAGGTTGGTACGTGCACACACATAAAGGAACTGTAAAAGTTCATCTTTAATAATTAGTTTGTTTTTCCTTTCAAGTTTAAAGAAAATCATCATCAAAGTATGTCTTGTTCCAACAAAAGTTGGGTACATCAGGCTGCTTTTGAAAAATGATCTTGCATATTGCAACTTCTTTTGAAGCTTCCTGGCATCACAAAGATTGGAATCATATGGCAATAAAATTAGTACCCAATGATCAAATGTTGTGAGGAAATTGCAAAGACAAACTCAAAAACCAAAGCCAACTGAAAGAACTCTCTATTGTCTATTATCAAGATAAAGAACATGGCAAGTTGAGGAATGTATCACGGAGAAGATGATTAGGTGGACCGATTTTGTATCTAATGTGATGAACAATAGAGTCAGATCAGCATGCTACTTAAATCGAATGTATTAACAGACACATTACTGCGAGAGACGAGATGTAATGAGAGAGAATGAAGGGGTAAATTGATGGTCAAGATCAAGCCATAACGAAATCTAATTAGAGGGTTTTGAATTGAACCATGGTGAGTGCAGGTGAGAATGTGAGTTTTGATGGGGTTGGGACGGACAAAGATGATGAATGGTGAGGTGCTACAGATTGGGTAAGTGTCATCGTTGTAGTTTCAAGATATATACGGTTGCAAATACTAAAATGATACGGTACACATTTCACAACCCTATAGTTTTTTAAATACAAAGGAAAAACGATGCGGTGGTTGTGCGACTCTATCCAATAGAGTGGGCCGCTTCTATCTTGATGTGACCGAAATTTTAACCAGTGAACACCTATGGGAAATAAATTGTCCAGTGAGATGAGTTGAGTCGAGTAACATATTGTTCGAGCTTGTCTTGAAAAAAGTACTAGATCGAGCTCGAATTGCCTTCTCAATGTAGGCTTCGAGTTTGGGCTTGAATATATATTATGTTTGAGCCCGAGTCTGATACTCATGTAATAAAATTAAGTTGTATGTTATGCCTAAAGTTCAAACTTTATATGCTCGTTTATGGGCTCAAACTTGAAATCGATTAACTTGTTTATTGGCTCGAGCTAGATGATTTTTATGTTTTAATTCGATGATCTATAAAGATACAGATATGCTTGCTCTAATGGTTTAACTTGGCTCGATTCAAGTCGACTTGGAAAATCTAATCTAGCTTTTGGACATGCTGAGTCTAAAATTGATGTTATAAAATTTGATTCGTTGATGTCTATTCAATCACATCTTTTCAATGAAGTGTTTAATATGAAAAGGTGATAACCGTGGATGACTAGGTCGATGAATTTCCATACGATACTATAAAGCATTAAGGTCTATCTTTTAAAAACTCTTAATTTTTCAAGAATACAAGTGTTACAAGCGTTATGGGGTGTTTGGATTGCTTATGAAAACTGCTTATTGACTTGTTTCGCTGTGGTACCGGTAATAAGCAGTTTTTAGTGTTTGGATGGGGGAAAAAGAAAGATGCTTATGCCGGTGACAAGCCGGTAATAAGAAGTTTTTGATAAGTTACTCTCATTTAACTTATTAGATTCAGCTTATTAGGTTTGGAAACCAATTTATCTTTTTAACCCCCATGTGCCTTATTCCTTTAACCAAAAACTCTCATACGTCTCCTTCCTCAAGCAACCAGTTCATCAAGGGACCTTCGACCATTCCTCAGAAATCGAACCAGTTCCAGAATTGAACCAGATTTCTTGCAATGATTTATTCTCCATCAACAGAAATCGATCGAGACCTTCACCTACAGAAATCAAAACCTTCACCTACGAAATCGAAATCAAACCTCCAACCGAAACCTTCAACCAATTCCTACAGAAATCAAAAAGGGTTTAGGGTTCTTCCTTCAGAATTACTTTCTGAAAAGGGTTTAGGATTCTTCCTTACATAAGCGACCTTCGAACACAGTTCCTTATTCCTCATGTCTTTTTTGGTCATTTTACATGTACAAGCAAAATTTACCAAACACTAAAAAAACAACTTATCAACTTATTACATTTTGATACTGCTATAAGCTAGTCCAAATACTTTTTATAGAACTCTGGTCTGACACCACATAAGCTAATAAACAGTTCTACAAAAATGCTCAATAAACAATCCCAATCACCCCTAGGTATAAATTAATAATGCATACAAAATATTTCAAATCTACTTTTTTTTTCATAAACAATGAGAGTGTAAGTTTGGAGGGTTTTTGAAAACTTATATTACCCTTTCCATATAAATGGATCAAGTTCTTAAACTCATGGATTTATCTCAATTTTAAAAAAAAATTGATATAATTAATTTTTATTTAAACAAATTATATAAAAAAAAGTGTATTTTATTCTATTTAACATTGATTTATATTTTTTAATATTTAACCCAATTTCCAGATTGCAATCACAAGTATATTAAGATGCGAGTATATTCATGCATTAATTTACCATATAACATTTACAATTTATAATTACATACATACAATATTCGTTAATATGTTTTAATTCTATAAAGCTAACATACAACCAATTGATAAACGTGTTTAAATACAAGATTGTTGAGCCACATTAATACCACTAAGCATTGTGTGGATATACTTCTAGTGATTTCATCGTTTCATCCATATTACGTAAAGAATAGCAAATGTTAGTCTACAACCTGAAAAAAAAACTGAAGCAGTGTGCATCGATGAATCACACGACAATTTACCAAAATAGAATCGAACATCAAACCAATAAAGATGATCATATCGAATGGCAGACTATTACAATGTACAACACATAAGCTTTCTCTGTGAACCCTAATTTTGTCATGGTGAGACGTTGAAAGGATCACGGAGAAGACAATGCAACAATGATTGGTATGGGTTTTTTTTCTGTAGCAACGATTAATTTTACCCGAATGGATTCTCATGGACATTGATTTGGATGGTTGATATCATTTCATTTCCTTTTTATTGATTTATTGAAGAGCACAATATGAAGCTCATCAATCAGATGGATATGTGCAGGGGTGCTCAAAAATCCGACCAACCCGATCAACCGATCAATCCAACCCAACCCAACGCGAAATAACCTAACCTGAAGCAACCAGATGTCTAATCGAGTTGTAAAATTGTCAAACCGTAGGTATTGGGTTGATATTGGGTTACTATTATTTGAACTCAACCCAACCCGATGAACCCGATACCCTTTTATTTTCTTGGATTTATATGATTGTTGAATTTCTATTAATATATACATTAGACAATTACACTATCATGTATGCTTTTCATATACACATATTTTCAATCTATTAATATCTCTATATAACTCATTCAGTAACTGTGAACATATATATGTTAATTGAGAAAATTAACTAAATGTGATATACGTAAGAAATATGAATAAGTTGTATCAAATGGTTGATGATGAAAAAGAAATTATGAGTAAAGAAATAACATATTCAAGGTTAGAAGAATATTTTAATATACCAAAGTATCAACCCGACCAACCCGACCAACTCGTACGGGTTGGGTTGCATTTTGGTTTGGGTTGGGTTGGGTTAAGATTTTTCCAAACCGCAAACATTGGATTGGGTTGTTCAAATATCCTCAACCCGATCAACCCAACCCATTAGCACCCCTAGATATGTGTATAAGGTTTTATATATATATCATTCATCATGAATATGAACTGAGCACATCACATTTATTATGAATAAGCAACCATTAATTTGGACGAACAATACATTCATCATGAATATGCAATCGATAATTTGGCCCACTGTACATTCGTCATTGATATGTTTTTTATTTCAGTTTAATAGTACATATTCATGATGCGTATTTGTATTCACTTTGTTATTCATAATGAATAAACAACATACAATATTTCATATATGATGAATCAATATTTTTTTGAATATGTTAATCAATATGAATATGTTATACGTTCATCTTATCACGTAAATTTTATATGCAGGACACAGTGTAAGCTTTGAAGATGAGGTCAAGGCTAAAACACCAAATTAATCGGCAAGAAAGAAATTGTCGAGAGTACAGACAATGTACAAGAGATGTGGGAAACTTTCCAATGTTTGTAACCTTTTGTTAACTTTTTTAACAGTAAGGCTCGAGCTCGAATAACTTGTCAATTTTTGAGCTCAAGCTCGATACTTGTTTATAGGCTCAAACTTTAGATCGGTTAACTTGCTTATTGGCTTAACCTCAATAATTTTTATACTTTGTTTATATGATTTATGAACATACGAAAGTGTTTGGTTCAGAAAAGTGTATGGTCGAATGGCTCGCCTCGCCTTGCCTCGAGTTGATAATTTTAATCGAGATTTCAAAGTAGCCGAGTCGAATATCGATGTTATGGAGTTCGACTCGTTAAAATAAACAATAAACATGTGTTAGACTTAGTATATTCGAGATGGACTCAAACTCGACAATTATTAAGCTCGAGAAAAACAAACTCGATTAACTCGTTAAAAGCTAGACTCGTCAACACCCTAGGCTAGATTACTGATTTTTCTTTTTTTTTTATTAACCTGGATATTCAACCCGCTATGCGAGCTGACTAATCCCAGAACGACCACCTGCTTTGCAAGATAGTCCGGAGTCACCGCATTTGAACATCCATGACCACAAAGGGATTTTTATTCCTCATTGGATTTGAACTGAGACTTTCTGATACTTTTGACCTTTGCAGTCAAACTCAAACCAATCAGGCACCACTCTTGTGGTTAATTTTTTATATTTTTTTAACATCTTAAATTTTGCATCATGTGTGGGGATGAAATGTCATAAGACAATAATGCAGGGGCTAATGTGAAAATAAACCCTTGTACGAAGAAGCTTGGGGAGCAATAAAAGTCTGAAACTAGTTCTTAGTACAAAAACCAGCGCTTATTTCTTCTCTGTGTTGCAACCTCTGCTCAATTCAGCTTTCGATCTCCAAGATCACCGATCAGGTCAGGTCAGGTATTGTACGTACGCCATCTATCCATTTGTGTACATATTCTAATGTTGATTTCGGTTGCAATTTATCTGCTTTCTTTAATCTCGAGGAAATCTTAATTTATGTATGATTTTTATGCTGGAATTTGAATTAGTAAGAATCAATTCTAGAAATGAATGTACTCTGTAATTACTTGATATATGAGATCATCGTTGTGGGTTGAGTTCTTATCGGCGTCTTTCTGAAATCGAAACCCTAACTTTTAATTTTAATTGGTTGATTAATTGTTTTGTGGTAATTGGAATGGTTGATTTGTACGCCAAGTGACTGTAATATTGGCCTTATGTGCTTACTGTTGTCATTTTGCTTCGTTATACAACTCCCCTGGGTTATGTGGTGGCTGAAGGGATGTTACTTGGGGTGTATTTGCTTTACAAAAATCCCTCATTTTAAAGATGGTTTTATGTTGCCTCTTGATCGAACCACCATTAGGAAAATGAGCCATTGAGAAGTTACTGTTCCTGGAAAATGGATCCATGAATCCTACAAGCAATTAACATCGAAAGCTGAAATGTTGGTACTTCACGTATTATACATAATAGCAAAAAATCCGTAAGACATCTAAAACTCATTTTGTCTTTGAAATCATGTGAGTGAGGATCACTTCGACGATTGCAGTCAACTGAACTGTGCATTAACTTTTCAACTAATAAGTCATAGGCCCATTTCCTTATTAGATTACACCATTTTATCATATTTATATTACCAAAAGGTTGGTTTCTAATCAATCCGATACTCAACACCAACATTCCCCTTGAATAATGTTTCCCTTTCTTAAGGGTTTAGTGTTCTGAAAAAGAAGTATATTTCGTTCATGCCATATTAAATACACCACAACAGCAACAACCAGCCTAGTCCAGAGACTTCTATTCCAATTTCAATTCATAAATATTTTGATCCATAAAAGTGAACAAAGGATACCCTTTGACATAAAAAATCAAAGCCCATGTACTTAAACAAATTTTGCTTCAAAATAGAGAAACACACATTCTTCATTGATGAATCTTATCCAAGGCTCTAAAGGGCGTGAGGCGTGGCATGGTGGCAAGGTCAATCCTTAAGCCTATAGGAGCCACGGTGTTTTTCAAGGCTTGACTTATGGCGGCAAATCTGTGGATCATATATATTATTATATATATACACATGTTTTCGACTATTACATAATGAGCCAACGATATTAAACAATTTAAATCAGGGTATATACTATAAACTAAAAAGTAAGACACTAAGGGACTGTTTACTGAACGCTTACCGGGTCACTTTATCTTATTGGATGAACATGATAAGAATTGAGAATCTTTCCTTGTAAGAGTGATAACAAGGACCAAGAGTCTTACCCGGTAAGCGCTTACCGGATAAATTGTTGCATACAATGCCTTCTTAATGGACCAAAATTTAACCCAGTAAGTTAAATTAAAGTGTTGAGTCTTGCCGGTTGGCGCTTACTGGGTAAGTGTTGGGTAAACGGCACCAAAAATCACCTCATCTCCAAGCACACGGCATTTATGCCGTTTGCTCTAAAGAAAGGCACTCTACCTCCTTCCATCAGCCAGTTCAATGCTTGAAGTTTTGTTTGTGCACCTAACAGTTTCTACTGGGCCTCATGAGGCTCTTGTGACACAGTTTGTCAGCCTGCTAGAATCCCGTTGTTCATAATTGAACCAAGTAAAGTATAATTGATGATTCGGTAGAAGGTATGAGTTGTAGGACTAAAAGTGTCTGACAAGGAGTTTGTCATAAATGTTATTCACTCAAACCAGGTGCATATTTTTGTAAATCTTGAAAAGGAAGATGACTGGAGGCACACAAACAAACACATTTACTGCAAGGGTGCCTCACTCTGCTGCCTTTAAAGGCGATTCTTTCTTTACCATATGAGTATGCAAATATGTTCTCAACATCCTTATTATTTGTTGAAGTCTATGGTATGGTGTCTTTGTCTCTGTCTGATGTGGATAGTTTAAAGTTTAAATTGGAACCAGAACTAATCTTAGTCTGTGGATTGATTTTAGATCTGTTCGCTTACTTTTTACATGTGATGTGGTGTCTTTCTGACTGGTGTTGCCTAATACTCATATTTTAAATGCAATTTGAATTTATGAAGATGTTAGAAACTAATATCAAACATTTCCAAAGGTATACGTTGTAACTTCTTCAATATGCCAATAAAGATGCTAAACAGATTGAGCTTCAAGAGAAGGTTATATGTGTTCTTAAGAAAGGAACATCATATAACTTGGGAATAAGGGGTCCTATTGATACGTGTGTGTGTGTGTGTGTGTATATATATATATATATATATATTCTCGCCTTGTTGTGCATTCAATGATGCATGATTTGTTTATCTATCTTGGGGGAGGGGGTCGGTCTTGCTCTCTCTTGTCTTTTATGGTTTGGTCGTTTGAGCAGATCCAGTCATCTGTGGGCATTTTAAGGTCCCAAATCTTCTAGAGCACATATTCATCAAATTTTATTGGCGAACTATGTTATCATTGCATCAACGATTTTTAAAATGGAGTTGCATCAATTATGTGTTGCCCTTTTGAATTCCAATTAGTAGCAGATCTTAAGTGTATATAAATTCGAGGATAGTTAGTATGCTCCATATCTGTTCCACTAGAATGACACTATTTGCTACAAGAATTGCCACATTTTCTTTTAGGGAAAGGTTCAAGTTATATGACGTATCCCCGACTTCATGTTCTCTTTTCGGCCACCCATTTTTATTTTGTGTGTCCCTTTTATATCACGTTACAAGAAATGAAGATGGGATCATGGTTCCAATTTTCTTGATGTATAAAATGAATATGACCCCAAAGAGAATGGAGAATGGAGGAAAATGGTATTACAAAGAAAATGTTAATCATAAGGTAAGCAGTGTTTCATTTTGGTCTACAGCGTTCCATAGAATGTTATTTAGAATAAATTACAAAGATGGTCCATGCGGTTATATGAAAATTACGGAATGGGTCCCTCAAACGTGTTTTTTTCTGGATAGCATCCCTGTGGTTTCATTTTGTTATGGATCAAGTCCTTTGCCCTAACTCCCTTTGTATTTTGCTCCTATATTTAATAGGAAACTCGGTTGTCTTCTAATATTTATCAGCTGTGCACTTCATTATCTTTGCTATTTTCTCCCTCTTTCTTTCTACTAATATAGTGATATATGATAGATGTCAAGAAGGTATGATAGCCGTACAACGATCTTCTCCCCAGAAGGTCGTTTGTACCAGGTCGAGTACGCAATGGAAGCCATCGGAAATGCAGGATCCGCCATCGGGATATTGTCCAAAGATGGTGTTGTTTTGGTTGGAGAAAAGAAAGTCACTTCAAAGCTCCTTCAAACCTCCACCTCAACCGAGAAAATGTACAAAATTGACGACCACGTAGCATGTGCCGTGGCAGGCATCATGTCGGATGCAAACATCCTCATCAACACGGCCCGTGTCCAAGCCCAACGCTACACTCTCTCGTACCAAGAACCAATGCCTGTAGAACAACTCGTTCAGTCTCTTTGCGACACCAAACAAGGCTACACCCAGTTTGGCGGGCTCCGCCCTTTCGGGGTCTCGTTTCTGTTTGCAGGATGGGATAAAAATTACGGGTTCCAGCTTTACATGAGCGATCCAAGTGGGAATTACGGTGGGTGGAAAGCTGCGGCAGTTGGTGCCAACAATCAAGCAGCCCAGTCGATGCTTAAGCAGGACTACAAGGAGGATATTACTCGGGAAGAGGCGGTTCAGCTGGCACTTAAGGTTCTTAGTAAGACGATGGACAGTACGAGCCTGACTTCCGACAAACTTGAACTGGCGGAAGTTTTTCTGTCGTCATCGGGTAAAGTGAAGTACCAGGTCTGCACGCCCGATGCTCTGAGTAAGATGTTAATCAAATACGGTGTGACCCAGCCTCCTGTGGAAACATAAGAGCGTAACGGTTCATTTGGTTCTATCTCTCTACGCATTTTATAAACCTTTTATTCTCAATCATGAACCGGTCCACCAAGTTTAAGAACCTTTCAAGTTACGATTCATTCGTATTATGTACTTGGGTATGTAATTTGCTGTTGAAAGAACGTGAACTCGTTACTCGTTTTTCGGTCTTGTTACTCTGGTAACAACAGGTTCCCCTCGTTTGATTTGAGAATTTGTCGCTACAAGATTGAAGTTGTAAGACGCAAAAAACGTCAGTGTCATAAGACTTAAGTTTACAGAAGCAAACAATTGTAAAAGTGTTTATATAATGCTTTTTGGACGTCTTAATAAGGTTTTTACGACACTTTTAAAATAAATTGTTATATTGGTTTTTTTATTAGACACCTTGGGGGAAGTGTCTTATAAACAAATCTTATTATAAGATATTTTTCAAATAATGTTATATAAAAAATATTAATAAGACATTTTATTTAAAAGGTGGTTTAAACAGTGTTTATAAACTTATTATAATATTTTTATATATAATAAATACATTATTAATATTATATACATAAGTTATATAAAGTAATACTTTTAGAATTTTTTTTCACGTGTATACTTGGGGTTGTTTGTTTCCCTCTTAATGGTGACATTAAGAGGGAGCCTCTTAATCGTTCAGAGGTTTAGACTGTTTGGCAAAAAAAAGAAACCTCTTAATGGTTACTAAAAGGCTCTTAACCATTTTGCATATGGGAAGTCTCTAAACCATTCAGGGTGTGGTTTTTCCAATTTTGTCCTCTCTCCCAATTCTCCCAACTCTCGTCGCCGGACTTCAAAGACATCGCTGGACTTCAAAGACCCTCCCCCACCCTCTCGTCGCCGGACTTCAAAGACCCTCCCCCACCCTCTCGTCGCCGGACTCGCACAGCCCCTCCCCCA